TGGTACCTGCACTGACACCAACAAGCTCCATCCAGCCAGTCACAGCTGTCTGTGCTCCAGCTACGTTGGCCTCTGTGGTACCTGCACTGACATGCTGCATTCATTAGAGTGACCATTCCCAATCCTGTCTTTTTGACATACTGTGTTCACCTCCTTTGCTGCTAGCAAATACAAACGGCATAAGTGTCTTAGTGATGTTTGTTAGATATTTCTGTTAGTCTTTCCCTGTCTGCAGTGTTGGTTGTTCTGTTTTATTACTAATTATTTTGTTTATTACTAGCTATTGCTAATAATCTCTTGCCCAAATTATAATTTATAAATTAAACTTTGATAATTATGGATATGTAGGAGGAAAATTTGGAGTGCATAGAGTAGCAGTGTCTGAGTTTCAGGTACTGACTGGCGTATTACATTGTAACTCCACAGTTCAGGGGAGACTGCTTAAACACACCTCATGTGCTAGGTATACATGCCATTGAAACTTCTCTAAGACCTTATCTTTGCATTGTGGTTTTATTTTCATAGTATATGTGTGATTCATATTCAGCATATGTCTGAGTGCCAGTTAAAACCAAATGCAGTTATCTGTAACTTGGGAGAAACTACATTTGTGAACATAGCAGATAACAAACACAAACTATCTGATGGGTAACTTAGAACAACTTTGGAGTAGTAGAGGCAGGAAAGGACCAGCTGATAATGGGTATAAGCAGACTGTAGCCTGCAGTAACAGTCTACATTCATTGTGACCCAGGTGTGAGTCACCTCAGACACATGAAGAAGCATCCACTAGGAGAAACTCTTCCTCTATCACACCATTCAACTACTGGAAGTATTCATAATCATTTTTATGGTTAAACTCTATGTATCTTAGTACCTTTAGCTGCTACAAAAGCTTTGCTTCAAGGAAAACACACATACTTCCTACAGTTGAGGACCATAGGACCTGTTGAAGACTGCACCCACTTATATGGAAGTTTCACATGTCATAAAGATGAACCATTATGGATATTCAAAGGTGAATTTTTTCCATCTCAAGATCCAAGGAGGAGGACCTGGGATGGATAATGGAAGAAGCATAGGGAGAATCAATACTGGAATTATACAGATTAGTTAATTGGATATATAGTAGAACAGGAAATGAATGTCATTCTATTGTTGAGAAAATATAAAACAGAAGACCGTGGAGGAGATGGTTGTTAAGGAGTCTGGGAGATGTGGTAACACATCCTGAATGCTGGTTATAATTTAAAAGGGTTTTCATCATTTCTTTTGAACTTACCAGATCTATTTTCTTTTAATAGACAACCGGAAAGGGCAGTGTGTAGAATCCAGTCTCACCAAGCAAATGCTGATTTTTCTTTTAAGGTAGTACAGGAAAACCACTGAGCTAGTTAATGTAGGCACATAATTGACAGTTTCTGCCTTGTGTGGACTTCAGCAACAAGTCATTTAACTTTTCTACAGTTTAATGACTGTTAAAAAAAAAAGTAGGGGTTTTTAGGCCAGTGGAACTACTCAATGATATATATGATCATAGTGGCTTCACATTATACATGTCCCAAAGCCCCGGGTTATATAGCACCAAGATAACTAAGGTGAATGTATGATGTTGGAGTCATCAGGATGTGGCGTCTAGGTTCATCAGTCACTGTGAATGTCTCACTCTGATAACGGAGACGCGGGTAGAGGACTCATGTATGTGCCAGGTAAAGGACCTAGGGGAAACTCCCTGTCTACTTTCCATGGTCTCACTGTGAATTCAAAACCAGTCTGAAAAATGAAGTCTGTCTTTTAGAAGTAGAGATAGTACTTTTATGATTTAAGAATCAAAGAATTTATATACAGAAATATTTTCCCCAGTTCTAAGTTGTCATATATTGGTATTATGTAATTATTTTTCATTCAGAAGGGAAACAAACATCAACATAATGTAAAACATTGATAATCAGACTTTTTTTTTTTTAACTATTTTGAAATTTTGCTTGCTGATGAATGAAGGTTGTGATCTGTTACTATTTTAAATACAAGATTGTCCTCTGGTTCCCCCAGGGAGTATATTACCAAATTGGTGATGTCGTTTCTGTGATTGACGAGCAAGATGGGAAGCCATACTACGCTCAGATCAGGGGCTTTATTCAGGACCAGTATTGTGAGAAGAGTGCTGCGCTGACATGGCTCATCCCTACCCTCGCCAGCCCCAGAGACCAGTTTGATCCTGCTTCATACATAATCGGTAAGGTGCAGTATCTTACATTTGGTTAATTCTTCAATACATTATAAACGAATGTGCTAGTCTGTGAGAGCTGTCACATGGCAAAATGTCACAGACTGGGGCTTGAGCAACAGACTGTTCTGAAGGTCAGAAGTCAGCTCTGGGTGCTGGGACCATGAGCGTGGATGAGGCCTTGCTTCCTGGCTTGCAGATGGCTGTCTGATTGCTGCCTCCCATGGTCTTTGTTCTCTGTGTGCACACCGAGAGAGTGCTCCGTTGTCTCTTAGAAGGACACCAATCTTATCAGACAGGGGCTCACTATTTTTTTTAAGTTAAAATGCAATTATATTTTTTCCTTTTCTTCCTCTGATCCTCTTATGTACCCCACCCCATTCTTTCTCAAATTTATGGTTCTACTTCTGTTACTGTTAATTGTTTAATTATTGTATATATTAATGTATATTCTTACATTCATGAATACAACCTGCTGAGTCCTTTTTATATTACTTTATGCATACAACTTCAGGGCTGGTCACTTGGTAATAGATAACCAATTTGGAGATAGGGGTCGTCTTCGTTACTGTACTGTTGCTATGAGGAAACACCATGACCAATTCCCTCTCAGCATTTCTTAGTTGCCTGCAGTTCTTTATTTGGAATTGAGGGAGCCCACTCTTTTGCTATTATTTGCACGGGGTTACCCCTTTGTAATGGTCCCATCTGCAGCACATAACCATATAAACATAGACCATCAGCATGTGAAATTAGGTTTGGGAACAAAGTTCAATCCAGAATTTAAAAAGGCATAAATATCATTACGTACAAAAAGGAAAGAGCATTGTAAGAAATACAGGGACATTTTACATAGTTGATATTTGGATGTCATTTGTTACTATGGGCTAGAACAGTGTGTATTCACTAACGTGGGTAGAATGTGTTTGTATGACCCAAGAATAAACTGTATGAAAAGAACTACACAAGAGTCTAGGTTATATAGAGGACCTATAAAATTACTCAAAAACAATTTCTAAAAGAACTTTCCTAATTATTTCTAAAACCTATAAATTCTCAGTATACATCCTTCTGCACAGCATACATGATATCTTATTCTTTAAAAAAAATCGTTGATTGTAGAAATGGGATACTGTACTGGGTTGATCATTTCAAGGTATTCAAAACATAGAGTACAACTAAGTCTTGACAGACTCATAAAAAATGACCGGCTAATATAATTTTGAAAGTTCAGTCTCCTTCAGTTATTTTGTACTTTTATTTTTTTCTGAATTGGGCATGTGTTCATTTTGCATCCCAAAGGGAGTGACATTTCTCTTAGTGAGAACCCCGAGGACAGCTAACATCCCATGTTATTCTCATTCACTGTCAAGCTTGTCGGGTATGACCAAACAGTTGTCTGTGTTTGTAAGTATGGAACATCAGAGGCCATGATATTCTGAATCGTTTCTAGGCTCTTTTCTCACTCCTTTTCATGATCCTCCAAGTCCTGATGCTTCCCTGCCTAGAAGATGTCACATGGTGTTCAGGTCGGAGCACAAGCTCTGGACCAGACTACTGGATTCATAGGCCCCTCTCCCCCCTTGCCTGCTGGCTAAGGAACTTCACCAGTCCTTAATCCGTCTTTCCTGAGTGTGCCTAGATGTGAAATTGGAAAAAATAGAGCCCTGGGAGGAAGTTGTGAGGATTCGAAGTGTGGGTATATGTAAAGTACTTAGAACACTACAGGCCTTTCTTAAACTACATAGATACTCAATATTTTAGGACCCTTTCTCAGTTGAGCACTCTGGGAGGATGCTGTATTCCTTAGTCAGTTGAGTAGAGATAATGGAGTGTAACTTCAGAGAAACACATGTTCTGAGGCTAACATCAGGTAGGTCATACAAGAGCATTTCTTCTTAGTGTCTACGAATGCTAACATTTTATAAAGATGACACCTGTGTTCAAAACTGTATTTACTATTTCACCGGCTGCCCCTTAGGGCCAGAGGAAGATCTTCCAAGGAAGATGGAGTACCTGGAATTTGTCTGCCACGCGCCTTCTGAGTATTTCAAGTCAAGGTCATCACCATTTCCCACAGTTCCTACCCGACCAGAGAAGGGCTACATATGGACTCATGTTGGACCTACTCCTGCAATAACTATTAAGGAAACAGTTGCCAACCACTTGTAGTTACAAAACCAAACCTGGGGCATCCCTACTTAGCAGGTATAAAGCTTCAGTTTTAATCCTAGAACATACATACGTGTCCCAAAATAAAGCCAGACTTCCAGTTTTCTTATAACAAGATATGCCACACATTTTTCTGTTTTAAAACTTTTTTTCTTTAATTTTTTTAGATATGGTCTCATATGTAGCCCAGGTTGGCTTAACTTTGACATCCCCCTGCCTCATCCTCCTTGAGTGCTGAACTACAGGTGTTACACCATAGCTAGTTAATGCCAGATACTTCATGAAGTTCTGACATGGAAACATGACTTGAGAACAATTTTATACTACTACCCAGTAATTATATTACCTTGCTTAGTACCTGTTGCTTAGAAAATCACAGGGTGAAAAAAGAATGAATTGAAGTAAAATGCTAAATTTAATGTGTATTTTCCCAGGCAAAGTCGCAGATTCCAGGGATATCATTATAAACATGTAGTGTCTATTTTTCCTCATAATTTATTTCTAGGAACTCATAAAATGAATTATATTTTTATAGGCACAAAACATTCTTAGATTTTTTTTCTTTCTTCCTTTTTTTTAAACCCAGGATCTCACTATGCAGTCCTGGCTGTCCTGAACTCATTCTATAGACCAGACTGGCATTGGACTCGAGATCTGCCTGCTTCTGCCTTCCAAGTGTTGGGACTAACGGTGTACACCACCATGCCAGGCTTAAGTTTCAGATTTCTGATCAAGAACTAAACCAAAATGTGGCCAGTATGTCTTACAAACCCAGTCTTTTTCCTTCTGTAGAAGCAGACCTTGCTGCTTTAGTCCTACAGAAGGCAGCTGGTGGGTGACTGATTAGCCCTGGCTCTTTACACTTTCATCCCATGCCTTTGCCTGTCAGCATCAGCTGCTTCTGTGAGACTGCTTCAGCCAGGCCTTTGATCTATCTGCATACAGTACAGACATCCCCTCCTTCTACTGAGGCAGCAGCTTCTGTGAAGGTGGCCTGGCTGTTGCTAAGACAGGGACTGGTGACTGGCTATCTCAAAAGTGACTGAAAGTTTTAGTTTTGATAGTCAAAAGACTCAAACTCAAACCATGAGCTGAGAGCTTGGATGGTGTGCTTTTGGCTTGGGAAACCCTGTCATATAGGCTTCAAGTGCAGTTTGGTCACATGATGGCGGGAAGTGGGCCTCTGTCCTGATCTATCCAGACAGACATTTTTAGCTGTAGGAATTTATGAGAATTTCACATGATCTTAATGATTTTCATCAGAACTCTTTTACTCTTTTTCTTTAGTCCCAAGGTTGGGGAAAAGCATCTTCGTGCTTATATAAGGTAATAAAGTTCATTGTAAATATTATTGGAAAAGATTTTTTAAACACTAATATTCCAGTTTTTGATTGAAAATTATTTTCACCATGGGTTTATTTTGGATTTTAAAATTTAACTTAAACTACTTAAAAAGGAAATGGGATGCTTCCCCCAAGATGGTGTTAAATAGAAACATCAATCTTTTGGTTACATGATTCACCTTACAGTGAAGAATAACATAGTCCTACCTAGGGAGTTCACAGGATTTAGTTTAAATGGTGACCCTGGGCCCACTGACTTAGGGGAGACAACTCTGGGAGTCTGCTGTCCTACAAGGCACAGCAGATTTCATATATGCTGTGAACCAAAACCACAACCCTAATACTAGAACTGGAGAAACTGAGGGAGGACGTATTAGAGTTTAAAAGAAAAACTGCAGGGCAGGCAAGCTGTAAACTGCGGCAGCATCCAAAAGGAAGAGACAGAAAGTTTTCTGAGACCTGGCAGCCAGTTAGTTATCAAGACTGCAGACAGGCAGGCATTCTGCGTGTGTACCCAGCCACATGCAGTCTCACACACCTATATATTTTAATTTACTTCCTCTGTCTTCCTTTTCCAAAGCCAATTACTAGATATTAGAGATACTGTTTGTGTTGATCGTGGCATACTTTACAAGTTAGTTCACGGATTATGAGAATATCAAGATAAAATCAAAGATTCTGGACTGGGGGCTGGATCAAGAGCCTTATCAGGCTTTGGTTGAAGGGATTAAATTTATTTGAATTATGTGTAAATGTCATGTTCTGATTTTTTTTTTTTAAAAAAAGAAGGCAATAGAATGTATCTTTTTCCAAAACAGTCAAGAAGTTGCAAGGCATACAATCTGCCAAAAGCCAGAAAAACAGTAACTGGGCCTGTGAGTGCGGAGAAATGCTTCCCTCTAAGAGAATGAGCTCCACCACTGACGTAATTCATCCAGGACTTACTTGTCTGCACTGTTAACCTCAGATTGCCCTGAGCATTTAGCATTCTGTGATTTTATAGATTAACCAAATTTATTAAATTAAAATTTTTACATCATTTTTATAGTTACAACTTAGGGACAGACCATCAGAGCAAACAAACTAGAAAAATCAGAAGTACATTTATGCTAAAGTTACTTTCTGTCCAGTTCGAAACATGGTTCCACTTTGATTTTTTCTCTTCTTTGGATTTTGAAAGTTTTCATACCTTAAAAAGAAAGATGATATTAATGAATAATACTTTCTAATTACAAAATAAAGATAGTAGACTCTTTAAATAGCTTTATATTTTAAGAAATAAAAGGGAAATAACTTGGAAAATTATAGAGAAAATTAAAAATTTCTTAAAAATAATTTTTCCAAGTTTTAGTCTAGTAGAAAAAAGAAACTAAACAGTATATTAGGAGAAAATACAAATGACAAAAGCAATATGAAAATTATAACCTGTATAGTTTTATTCAAAGACAAGGAAATTGCTAAACAGTACATAGTATCTCTGCAGTCATATTGGCCATGGTTAGAACAGTGGGCACTGAGCTGTGGGAGGGTTTGAGATCTGGTATGTGTTCTGCAGTGCAGGACACACTAGACACTAGAGCAAGTTGGCAACGTATTCTCAAAGCCTTACAACTGTTAGTGCCCTATGATGCAGTGCTTCTGTCTTCACCTCGGTGAGCTCATGAAAGAAGGGCAAACACTTCAAGCTGCTTACAGAATAGCAGTGAGCACCTTGAGGTATGTAAATGTCAAAACATGGACACTGTCACAGAAATCTACTAAAAAACTGGCATTGAACACAACAAAGTGGCCACCTGCACAATGTATGTCACACAGTGTTTAAGATGAACAGATGGTTTAAAGGGGACAGTGGCCTACCAGCATAGGTAAAGCACTCTTACTTTAAAAATGTAAGTACACACAGTCACATGAGAGTAAGGAAATTTCTGTTTCCTACTCTTCCTTATCTTTGTTTTTTGGTATTTGTACAATAAAACCACATTGCTGATATATGTGCACTTCCCTCTAAAGAACAGCAAAGTTGAGCAAGAATTGAAGTATTTACTCTTAGACAAAACCAGGAACAAACTTTTTGAGTTATGTTGAATCACTAACATGGAAGGGTGGCTAGTCCACCATGAAAAGTAGCCAAAGTATAACCTTTCTATGGGTAAGAAAGATTCTAAGTAAACGTTGACACTACTAAACTGTAAATCATCTTAAGGACAAAACCAGCACACACACAAACACACACACATATATAACAGTGTATATATATATACACACACACGCACACACACATCATATAACTATATAAATAAATAATACACACACATATGTATTTGAGATATAGCCCTGCCTGTCCTGGAACTCAATATCTATACCAGGCCGGCCTCCACCTGCCTCTGTCTCTTAAGTGCTGGAATTAAAGGTACACCACCATGCTCATCTAGAACCAGTATATTTTTAATAAATATTATAAACTAAATCGAATTAATTACACCATTATTCATTGTCCTGTTCATTTTCTAAAATTAGTTCACTATACTATAACTCATAGACTAACACATTAATTAAGGAAAGTCTAAGTGCATAGTTACTACAATATCTTTTTTGGTTATGGGAATGATGATCCAGGGTCTCACATATCCCAGGCACATCCTCTGTCACTCATTTACAGCCCCAGTTCACCATATATAGCTTTAAATTAGCTTCCAAATTTAAAAAACATGTAAACAATTCAGAACTGAAGTGAACAACATGTTTCTTATGGTTACTTACAGCTCAGCAAATTCCTTCCCTTCGTCTTCACTAATGGATGGTCTTGTGTGGGCAAGCGCAGTCATTAAATGTGCCTGGCTAATAGCAAAACTGGTTTTGATTGGTCCAGGCTGGTTAAGGGATTCATCCTCCTTAAATAAAAAGCAGATTAAGCAGATGTCAACTTAGGAATTCAAGAGATAAAGTGGCAGTCCCAAAAGATAAAGTGGCAGTCCCCGTGTTATTTCTTGAAAAGTTTTTTCCTGTAAAGCATACATTTTCTCTCTTAAGACAATCACAGAGCAAGGACTGTCACTGGGCTGGGTCACTGTGCTTCAGCACTTTGCTTATAAATATGGCTCAGTTAAAACCCAAAGAAACATGTCAAAAAAGGAAAAGCAACTTGTAAAAGTTGTAAGAGGAAGGGAAAGGGCCATACTCCACTCTGGCTCCGGTATCGGCCTTTGATGATGCTAATATCTGCCCTCAGCTGGTCTCTCTGTTCCTGTGTAAGGTATTGGCAGCCTTCTTGGGAAGGTGTCCTGAACACAGGATGTGGTGTAAACAATGGGTCTTTCCCAGGAGCAGCAGGTAAATCCTGAGTCCCGGAGCTTGGTGCTGACAGACAGTGTGAGCTCTGCATGATGGGTAAAGACAGAAGAAAGAGATGGGAAAGAAGAGAGGGAAACAAAGAGCCATGTTCACTGAAGATAAAAAATGAAAACTTTGTTTTCTCTTTAAAATTTATTACTTAAAATATATTACACATGCATATACGTATTTTTATCAAATCCATCCCACTTCCTGGCCTCCCTCTCCTGCCATATTCCTTCACTTTCCCTTCCAAATTCATGTCTGCTTGATGCTGCTCAGTCTACTTGGTAGGAATACAGGCAGACTCTCAGAAGCTATATCCCTCAAACAATAACCTTAGGTAAGTTTATATTTTATTCACTAAAGTTAAGCAAGTTTAAAAGACAGTAAGTTCACTGATACCTATGGTGTAAGATCTCCATAGCAAAACAAACCACCATCCATAATA